GTATACTTCATTACTAACGTTTCAGCATTAATAAATATCACTATCAGTCGCCCTGTATATTATTAATTTTAAAGGTAATTAAAGTTATTTTTTTAGTTAACATAATAAATTAGTGTACATATATTAAAAATGTATTTTGTGAGCATATGTTTTCTAATAATATACTTAAACTTAAAACTATTTTAAAAGCCAAACGAATAATTAATATAAGTGTATCTGACAAGAAACGAAGAATAGAAAGAAATTATTATACACCAGAAAAAGAATGGGATGCCAATTAAAGTCTTTTTGAATCTGGCAACTGTGCATTTTTAGCCGAGCTTAAAGGCCGTCGACGTGCCCTCGATCCGAAACCGAAAATTGAAAATTTCCAATTATATTCTGATTATGATATTGTCGCGCCATCTAGTATTTTATTTGTGCAATTTTACCTCTTTCATTTCGAGTATTTTTCTGTTGCGTAGCTAGATATTCTGTGCTATTAGCCCTAATATGTTAGCCAATGTCAGACGGGGATTTTACGACCGCCTCGGCTTCTGTCTAGCACAAGAAGATGGTCTTTTTGAACACTTTTTATAACTTTTTTTTTATTTAGAGTAATATTTTAGTTTTTTTTGGGTTTAGAGAACTTATTTATTTTTAGTTTTGGCTTGTAAACACACTCAATAAATATTTAAGTATTTTCATTTTAAATGTTACCTTAAGTGAAGGTAAACACTTAAAATGAAAATAATAAATACCACTCCTGGAGTCGTATTCCTAGTCTGTCATGACCGACCCGTCCAAGCACAACTGCAACTGCGTATTGCCTGACCAGCGACTAGCCGGCAGTGAATCTCGAGTACGAACGCAAAACGGGTAAACATAAATTCTTCCGGCAACTTGCTATGTTACTAGTAGCCTGGTCTTCTCTGTATACTAAACAACTCCCTTTCAGGTCCCTTTTAGTTCAATTGCTTATTGAAAAAACACTACCGTAAAATACCTAATTTTATTTAGTAGGTATTAATATAATAAATAACATTTTATTAACGTCAAAAGAGCTTAAATATAGAGAATGTAGTCTTGTTAACTTTGATTACTTATATATTATATATTTATAAAATTATTTATGTCGTATATAAAAAGGTATAGGTACACGGTGCAGTATATATCTCGTCGTAAAGGAACGCTGGCTTTAAAACTAAATTCGGGCGTAAAACAAATCACTTTACTATAAATCTATGGATGGATCCGGCACCGTAAAATATTTATGACGAATATATTCAATATAAACCGTATTTCGATATTTATTTTATGCCCCTTGGGGTGTCATAAAACACCGCGCCGAATTTATATAGTAGTGCGAATAAAATAGAAAAAATACCGAAAAAATATAAAATAAATAAAATATTTTTGTAACATAAAACTTCGGTTGTGTTATATATGGTACAGTGAAAGTCGGAAATTTAGTGATTGTTAATATTCACTAGGAAATGCTAGCAATTACGCATTGGACTAGTTAATGTGGTATTTTAAAGAGATTTGTCAACTTTTCCTAGTCAGAATATATAGGAAAATTCCACACCTGTAATTTTTAACCAATCAAAACGTGTAATCACCATGGATAAATTTTAGTGAAAATTTCACACCTCTACTTTTCAACCAATAACATGCTTTAATGTTGACTAGTTACCATGGCAACTGAAAAAATTTCCGGAAATTTTTTCGAGGCGCCACGAAACTTTAGTGGAAATTTTAAGATTAAAATAAGATCTACAATCATAATGTGAATGAACTACAATGTCTATATATTGAAATATTGCCCATTTGAGTTTTAGCATTTGATGTAACTAGGGTTGGTAATATTTTTTATTTAAGGAAATATGTTAGATATACCTACATATGAATTTCTTCGAAATTGCCATGTTCTAAAAAATATAGTTCTGCCGCCTTTATTTAACTAAAGCTGGTATTTTTCTATTTAACGAAATATGATGAATATATCTATATGATTTTTTTAGAATTTATTTCATGTTGAATTATATTCAATGCCAAATCTTTAATGATATCGACTAATATAGCAAAATAATAACGAAAAACATTTAGTAATTATAGGTTTTATTAATATTAAAAACACAATTATTAATACCTTGGCCAACTTAACAAATTGAAATTATTTTAAAATGTCATGTTGGATTAATATTTTTTTTTTCAAATTTAAGTGTGAAATTTTCTTACCGAATACCACGCAAGCTTAAATTATTCCTGGAAATTTTCTTTCGGGCACGAATATTTTAGGAAAATTATCCCTCGTCTTCGACTCGGGATAGTTTTCAAAATATTCGTGCCCTCAAAAAAATTTCCGAAAATAATTTAAGCTCTTGTGATATTATAAGTGAAAATGTTTTCCTTGTGAGCACCCAACAGCGAATTATACTGGAAATTTTTTGACGTTTATAATGACAGAATATCTTTTTGAGAGTCTGGTTTTTATTTGTTTACATGATAATTTTGATACATTTCAATTACAAAGCTGAGATGAAAGTTTGTAAACTGCTTCCATGCCCTTGACTTCGATTTCCTAGTATTCGCGGGTGTCAACTGCTTAATCTCCTGGCGAATATTTTCTTTGCTTTCATGACCGAAGCGAAACATTTTTTTTAAGCCGTGCCGCTTGACAGCTTCAAAACTGAAATAGTTTTTAGGCTTGGGTGTCACTTAGTTATCATAGTAACTAAATAATCAATTTAACCAAAAATCGAAAAATTCATTTTAATTATTTCATTTTCAAACATAATTTGGTGTGGAATTTTCTTACCGAATACCACACGAGGTCAAATTAAATCCGGACATTTTTTCTCGCTCATGAATATTTTTAGAAAATTATCCCTCGTCTTCGACTCGGGATAATTTTCAAAATATTCATGAGGTCGAAAAAAATTACGGAAATAATTTGACCTCTAGTGGTATTACTAGTGAAAGTTTTACATACATAATACTACGCAAGCGCAACCTATGAATAAATAAATAAATAATTTACAAATAAAACGTTAAAACAATATCACGAATTATGTACAGAAACAAAGTCTTTTAAATGGACTGATCACTAATGGTCATTTAACCTATCCTGACTTCTACTGTTTCCTCGAAACGATTTTCTGCTCAGACACTCTAAATACGAGGCTGGAGCCCAACTTTCCACAGAACTTCCAATAACTTTAACAAACCACCAGCCAGCACATCCCTTTTTTAGTAATTCAACTATATCCCCTTCTCTCATATAGACACTGATGCCTATTGCACAGTTGTCAGCCAAAGCTATGAATCTTCCTCTTAGAACTAAATAAAAAACGGCAGGCTAGTAATGCTTAACATAAAAGGTGGTGGTAGTGTTAACACTACTGCCTATGAAATAGGTCACCACGCGATCCACGACTGTGCTTGAACCCTTCACCACATACCACGAAGTAGGTGTGTGGTCATCGTCGTCGCTGTTACTACAGTCAGATGACCAGTTACCATCCTCCGAACATTCAACACTATCGTCTGTGTGGTTTGCTGTTTCAACGTCACAACTCATGGCTCTTTGGTGTCCTTCAACTGCCCCTGCCATCGAACCATACTTTTGAGTTTCCCATGACGTGGTCTGTCTTAAAGGTCTGTGAGTAAGAGCAGCATACTGTTTATTTTTTTCTCCTTTTATTTCTTCCAGTTGATTGAACAATACTTTCTTAATTTCGTTTACCCAAACATGCCTCTGTTCCAAATTCGCTGCCTGCATAATATGAACTTCTTGCTTTCCCTCCAACCAAACTTCAAATGTTTCTAACATTTATTAGTGAAAGTAACATTTACTAATGGTGGCCAATAAAAGTCATTCTATTGTACAGGGCGAGTGTGGTGAGGAAGAATGTTGGTGGAAGTTAGAACAAATAAAACTTTTAAGAATATTGGATCACCTCAATATTCAAGCTGATCCACATATCTTAAAAATACAATTTACTTCTTTAGTATATTTACTAAAAATTATAGAAAATAATGACATAACCTTCTAAGTATTAAAAGAGAAAACATAGTAAACATTTTAAAGCGTACAAAACAATTTAAAGAAACATTCATAAGCATAAGATTACTTATTGGTACAAGGTTTTTTAATAAAGTTCTTCATAGTCGACAAAATAAAGTATGCCCGAATTTTCTTCAACGGCAGTTATTCGTTTTTTTCAAACCCGCTATTTCAAGCATATCAAAAGGTTTAATAAATTCATAGTCACTACTATAGGTTCCTTAATATCTTTTTCTCTTGCACGCTTAACTTTTGCTATGACTTTATTATATTGCAAAAATAAAAAAACAAGCACTACTACATTCTTGGGAGTGCCTAGTTTATCTTAATTTTTCACAGAAAATTTCTTCTATATGAAAAATACAGCACTTTTTACAACGATAACAATACAATTATATATAACCACAAAAGATAAAGTGAATTTACGCTAGATGTCTGTCAACGTTGCCAACGTTTAGCCCGATTTAATGGTATCCTTGTATTGCCTATTATTCAACTTATCCTTATTTGTCCTTATATTTTACAACATATGTGGCAACCGCGCTAACTGAATCATTCAAACTCATTGCTATCGTCCAGGGAATGCTAGCATTCACTAGTAAAAGTTGATTTCAAAAATAGCTGTTGAACTTTTATTGGAGTAGTTTTAGCAAATCAGTGAATGTGAGCTTTTACTAGTTACTTTGTTAACAATCACTGATTTCCAAATTTTACTGTACCATATGTACATATATAAATTTGTAGTGACAGATTTACAGAGTGAGTCGCAAATACTTGTAGGGGTAGTATATGTCGTCCCCAGAAAGACCTCAAGAGTTTAAAAAAATGAACATTTGGATTTTTTTAAAAAACATTTTTGGAATTTTTAAAGAAACATACACGTAATTCTTTTTGATGTGCTTCCTATTTCGTTTCCTTTATCAGGGATTAAATTCAATCATATATTTTCTAGACCTGTGAAGATATAAACGAATGCCAAGAACTAGGAAATCAATGTGCCTTCAGATGTCATAATGTTCCTGGGTCGTTTAGATGTATCTGTCCATATGGATATGCCTTAGCCCCAGATGGTAGGCACTGCATAGGTATGTAAACCATTTATTGTAACGTTCATTTAACCCACGATTTATTAAAGTTCTATATAAAATACATTTTAAAGTTTATATAAAATATTTAACCGTAAACGTAAATAAACATATTTATTTTAATTAACGAAACACCTGTTTTTTAAAGATGTGGATGAATGCAACACTCCAGCCAACAACTGTAGATTCATGTGCAAGAATTTGGTGGGATCGTTCATGTGCATCTGTCCAGAGGGATACAGCCAAGTGGGATACAGTGACGAATGCAAAGATGTAGACGAATGTGATACAGATCCAAATCTTTGCGAAAACGGGAGATGCATCAACTTACCAGGATCGTTCAGGTGTGATTGTCTGGACGGATATGAACATAGTGAAGACGGAAAACGCTGTATTGGTAAGTGTAATTCATTTATATGCAGGATGTTTCAAAAAACATAAACAATTTTTTGAAACACCCTGTAGATTTTTAAAATAGAAATATACAGAAAAATAATAGGACAACTCAACAAGAAAAATGATGTATTTCTTACAGATCGTAGGGAAGGAGTATGCTACAGAAACAGGGAATGTTCAAACTCCAATGGACACTATCTCAAGAAATCTACAAAGGCAAATTGTTGCTGTACTATGGGAGAAGCTTGGGGTCCTAGATGTGAAGCTTGTCCATCCAGGTACTCCATAGAGTACCAGGAACTATGTTTGGAAAGTGGGTACCTCATAACTGGTGAAGGTAAGTATATGGAAACTTAAAAATAATGAACAATGAAACATCCTCATAAAATTGATAAAAATTAAATTGTTTCAGATATTAATGAATGTGAAACAATCTCGGATCTGTGTAAGAATGGCAGATGTATCAATATTTTAGGATCGTACAAGTGTATTTGCAACAAAGGTTATAAGAGTGATGCTTCGGGATTATACTGTCATGGTAAATATACCTACATTATTGTATAGAAAAATCAATAAAAGTTGGTATGGATGTCATCAAAATATTTGACGAATTCCAGATTATTCCTGACAAAATAGATAATATTTTCTGTTTTCTTTTCTGCTAGATATCAACGAATGCAACAGCGCTCATCCTCCCTGTCAGTACAACTGTCTAAATACTGACGGTGGATTTGTCTGTTCCTGTCCATCTGGTTTCCTTCTTAACGCTGATGGCGTCACTTGCTACGATTTAGACGAGTGTGCAACTGGTGAGAATCTGTGTCAGCAGATCTGTACGAATACTGAGGGAAGTTACACTTGTTCTTGTAATGAGGGATATAGACAAGTCGGAGATAAATGCGAAGGTAAGTTGAAAATACAATAAGCTTCCTACGAATGTTTGATAGAGGTATTCAGTTTTTGTTTTTAATTTACGTTTGTTCATCATCATTATTTTCAGCTATTTGAACCGTTTTTAATCATGGTGTAGCCTCTCTCCCATATTTACTTACTCTCTTTGTAGTTGGGTCCATTGTTGTCTATTGTTGGCTATACGGGCCCAAGTTATTTCTGCTAATTTCCTAATATCATGGTCCCATCCCAGGTTTGATCTTCTTCTAGCTCTCTTCAGTCAACGTGGGTACCAAGGTGAAATTTTTGTGCTCCATCTGTTGTTCGTTCTTGTTGCCAGGTGTTCTGCTAATGGTCACTTGGGATTTGATTCTGTGGATGACATCTATTTAGTTAAGTCTTTGGACGTATCCATTCTATTCTTTTACGGCCTTTTTTAGTTATTTCTTGCATAGTTCGTTCCATTGGGCGTTGTGCTACTTGAAGTTTCCTTATAAGGTCCGTTTTAAGTGTCCAGATTTTGCATGCATAGGTCATGACTGGGTAGTACATATTGGTCGAATGTTTTCTTCTTTAGATAAAGTGGCATTCTAGATTTCAATACGATTGAGTTTCTTCCATAAGTACCCCATGCTAACTTAATTTTTCCGTTGATTTCTGACGGTAGAGATCCCGAGCTGTGTATTAGTTGTCCTAAATATATATATTCTTCTACTATTTCCAGTGATGTGCTATTTATTAGAATGTCTTTTCTGTCTACTTGTTCGTTGTATATTTATTTACTGTTATTACAAATGGTTGCCTAGCGATCGTGGATCAGTTAAAAATCTTGCGTGGGTTAGTGTCTGACCCACGAGTTTTCCCCACCACTGTTCTATGGAATGATACTGAGTGGGACAAAAATACCACATTTCGATTCCGTCTGAAATCTTCTTATTTACAGGGTCAGTCTTAAATAAATGAAAATATTTTCAGAGCTAGTAGATATATTCTATAAGGAACATACTTACTCTTTTTGAAAAAATTCCAAAACAACCGTTCAACAGTCCAAAATTTTGACAGCCACTGGATCTTTTCTGTGTTTTCTTTCTTGTAAATTCAATCTACTACCAATTTTGCCATATTATTAAGAAATTATGTTTTTAAACTAAAGACCATAAAATTTTTCAAAAAATTCAAAAAAACTCTCGACGTGTTTCTGGAATCGTAATATACTACCACTAAGAATATTTGCACTTATTTAAGACTCAACCTGTATATTTAAGATTTTTATGATGTTGCTGATAATTTTTTTTCCATAGCAACTGTTAAAATTAGTAACTGTAAAAACTGTAAAAAATAGTAGATAAAATAGTACTTTAACCGCAAGGGTAGATTAAATGATACTTTAACAGCGAGGATAGGTTAATAATTTTATTTCTTCTAGCACGTTTTTTAATTGCTTCCATTTTTGAACATTTTTGTATTCCTTTTCATAAGTTATTCGGGATTTAAATGGAAGTAGTTTGGATATGGCGTTTGTCGCCTCAGCCTGAATATCTGTTGGTAATTTACTTATTTTGTTTTGAGCCATTTCTGGCTCCAATTCAATCAGCAATCGACACGAAAGAGAATTAAAAAATATTGACTCAAAACTGAACTAAAGAGAGAGCTTTATTTATTTGTCAAATTATATAGAAGCCAACGCCAACCCAGCACAATATTTTTTTCTACTCGTAATAAATTCCTTGAAATAATAATTTCTGAATATTTTTTAAAACGTAACTCGCTATGGAAAAAAAAATTGTTTTATACAAGACGATAAAATTGCATTATCGTCCCCCGAAATTAATTCACTCGCGATTTCATCGTTCGTGAATTAATCTTTTTTTTTTCGGTCGACGATAAATACCATTTTATCGTCTTGTATAAAAAATAACTATTAAATCTCACCCCACACGTGTTAGTTAAATTATTAAAAATAGGTTTGGAAGAAAGACAATTTTAACATTTACCTACATATTATTTATAAGGTCAAGTCTATACCAAGTATCCATCAATCCTATTTTAAAAAGTTTCTTATTTATTGCCTCCCAGCCGATCCCTTCCTCAATTAACGTCAGGCTTAACGCTCTCGCAGGTGAATTCCCCAAGTCGTCAATCTGCCCTAAAGGTCCATTCTTTCCTCGTTCGAGACAAGGGCTGCGCTTTAACTACCCTTCGGCCCGATAAATACCGATGTTTGCTGCAATATCTCAACATAATTACGGACACGAGTGTACTCGCTTGGCCCTTGTTGACTTTGTTTAATCTCTAATGGGAATTGCAATGTGTTCAGTTGAACTCTACATATAAGAATTATTATATAGGGCAAATTCTGGTAAATTATATTATTGGTTTAACTGCGATTTTTATCACGTTTTATGTACACCCTGTAACATTTATCTAGTTATTATAAATATTTATACAGGGTGTTCCAAAAACCAAACCCCAGAACTACGCCTATGAGGTTTTTTTCGCGAAAAAAAAATAAAATTCGAAATTTTTTGAAAAAAATTTTGGAATTTTTTTTAGTTTTAGAAACCATACTTTTTTGATAATATGGCAACATAGGTATTAGATTAAATTTACAAGAGAGAAAATCCAGAAAAGATCCAGTGGTTCTCAAAATTTTAGCAAAAAATATTTTTTTTTGGAAATTTTCAAAGTAAAATAACTCCGTTATTTTGGACTTATTTGAAAAACGATAAAGAAAAAATAATACGTTTCTTTTATCGAGATCTACCACCCCTAAAAATGCTTGCACTTATTTCTGGGACACCCTGTATAATACTAGCAATAGCTTTCGGCTTTGTCAGCACAAAAAACTTCTCTCTCATGAGGGATTTAGAATTTAGAATAAGTGGGAGGGGGTTAATCTCTGCGACCTTAGAGATCTATCGTGTCTCCCTTTCTTGAGTTATAACTCATCATACAGTCCCAGGACTTCCTACGGAGACCCGTGTCCCTCACAGTCGAGGAGCTACGACCCAGGCCGGGTAGACGAAACGGTAGCTTGTGTCGCCTGTTGGGTTTAGAGGTAGGAGGTAGGCTCCCGACCCTTGGAGGAGGTGGTAGCTTGTATGCCACTTGCGGAGGATGGTCTCACGCAAGTGTCAGCCACCTCTCCTGTAGTTCTCTTTGGGTTTGGCCCCTTGGAACTTTCATTGTTACTGTTCCCAGTGTCGCTAGGGGGTTTCCCCACAGCTTCACCGGTGATGTTTTTATTACTATTATTACCAGATCTCATAGTGTTCCTATGAGTCGCTAGGGACAGTCGGTCCACTTCTACAGAGCCCCGCATGTAGAAGTAAGGGGTAAAATACAATGGGGTGCCCCCCGGTGCCCCAAGGTTGAGGCTGTCCGTAGCCCCGCCCGGTATCGTTATATGTCTTGGTGCAATTCCCTGGCCACGACACTACAGTCAGGGACAAGACGATGAGTGAGATGCTTCTTAGACCAAGCCAAGTGCTAGAGGGAATTCCCCCCAGCACCTGACCAGGAGCTTCCTCACCAACGACAAGGTCTTGCATCTCCTAGGGGAAGCTCATGAGGGATGCATTTCCAAACATTGCTTCTGAGTACTCACTTTTATCACTTATGAGTCCATTTCACTAGTGCGAAAAAGTAGATATAGTAAATTCCACGAATGTTTGGGAGTGATTCATCGCTTGATGAAGTTAGAATTGACTTCATTGGTTTCTTTTCATTTTTTTTTCATTTTTAATTTTTAAACGTAAATTACGTTTAAAAATTAAAAAACGTAATATTAAAACGTAAATTTTTACCGCAGACGTAGGTTTTTAAAGGCCCGGTCTAATCATCTGCCTGCGCTCCTCCTACTTATTCTAAAATGTTGGCGTGATTGACAAAGACGATACTATATCGCGTTTCTTTGATTGATTCGTTTTTGTGCGTCAGTCCATTTGTGTGCTTGCAGTGCGACCAATGGGGCATTCCATTTTATATTTATAACCAAATATATGTTTTTAAGATATTTAAAACAGATTATATATTGATTATTATATGACTTGAAACACCACGGCACTGGAATTAAGTTTATGTGACCTTGAACAGATTAGTTCATATGGTAGCGACCGATGAATCAATCCCAAACATTCGTGGTGTTTACTACAAATAAGCGTTCGTCATTTAACGCTTTATGTAAAACTGGCTAGGTATGTTTACACAAATGAAGAAGGAAATTAAAGATAAAGGATTATAATATATCCGTATTGTAGCACATTTTTCACTTCAGCTTCTTTTATTTTTAAGGATTTTATGGTCAAACATCAACAAAATATTTCTTATGTTTGGACTAAATTTTCTCAAAAATAAAGACATAATTTAAAAATCCGTTACAATACGGAAATAGATTGAAGTTTTGTTATTACAGTGATTTATTTATATGGTTTTGTAACAAATTGCTGGCTATTTTATGGCAAATGCCGAAGCTCTGCGAACCTTAATCAAGCCTTAATCAAAGCACGTGTGTATGGAATATTGGATGCGGCCAAAGAATATTATAGTTAACACAATGATGTGGCTTAACACGACAGGATCGGGCTAAGCCTTAGAGCCGTTGCACACACGCCGGAACCGGATAGACGGCGCCGTCTACCCGATTTCACTACGACCTTTCAGACTAGTCCGATTTTACTCCCGGTTTGAGCCAGTACAGTTGCATTTTTGATCGCGACGCCAACGAGACGGCATAGAACGTGAACATATTATTGTTTTGTGGTTTGGAATCGCTGTCGTCATCAGAAAAGAAAAGCAAGGAAAATCATCTTTCAGTTTAATGCAAATTTCTCTCCATGCTTTATAAGCTTCGCTTTTGTCTTCTTAGAAACACAAGATTTTATACCAGTGGACTGGTCTGGTTTCCAAAGAGTGGTATTAAAAACGCAGTATCTACTTCCGAAATACTACTTGCAGTCGCTATTGTTAACTTACAATGTATAAATTTTACAAATTTTCAATAATGCTAAACGCAAAATCTCTCTTAGATGGACGAAACCGAGCGACTAGGATGGACAAGTGTGAAAGCGTCAATTTAAATCAATGTACAATTAAAAGCACGGTCACCGGCCGGCGACCGTGCTGCCAGTGGTGGTGTCCGGTGCCAACCCGGTGTGAATCCGATTCTTGGCCGGCGCCGGCACGTGTGAAAGCTCCCATAAGAGGCTATGCACCTCATCACTGGTTAGACGGCGTCGTTTATCCGGTTCCGGCCGTCCGGCGATGAGGTGCAAAGCATCTGCCGGACAAGAATCGGACCGGCGCCGGACAAGAATCGGATTCGCGCCGGGTTGTCACCGGATACCACCACTGCCAGTACGGTCGCCGGATGGCGCGCCGTCCGTTCCGAATTCGTATTAGTACATTGTTTTAGATTGACGCTTTCACACTTGTCCGTCCTAGTCGCCCGGTTTCGTTCATATGAGAGAGACTTTGCGTTTCGCATTATTGGAAATTTGTACGTTGTAAGTTAACTATAGCGACAGCAAGTGGTGTTTTGGAAGTAGATACTAAGATTTTAATACCACTTTTTGAAGCCAGACCAGTCCACTGGCATAAAACCTTGTATTCATAAAAATACAAAAACGAAAAAGTACGGAGTACGAATACAAGTATGGAGAGAAATTTGCATCAAACTGAAAGATGATTTTCTTTGCTTTTCTTTTCTAATAACGACAGCGACGATTCAAAACCACAAAACAATAATATGTTCACGTTCGATACCGTCTCGTCGGCGTCGCGATCAAAAATGCAATTGTACTGGCTCAAACCGGGTGTAAAATCGGACTAGTGTGAAAGGTCATAGTGAAACCGGGTAGCCGGTGCCGTCCATCCGGTTCCGGCGTGTGTGCAACGGCTCTTAGGCAGATTTTTGAAATATAATATATATGTATTTCCTTCGGCCACACACCCGCTTTACCCGACCCCTGAGAGCGACCCGAACAGTACAGCGTAATAGACCCTTAAGGGATTTCATATTTTTAGGATAGATTTTAAATAAAAAATATACAAACTTTAAGACTACAACCTTTGATTTCATCCCCTTAAAGAGTTGAATTTCCAAAAAACGCTTTTGAAGTTCCACTTTCGTTTCCCAAGTTCCCAACTGTGAAAAGTTGTATACTTATTGGACAAATATTAATTATTTCTATACAACATTCACTTCTTATTTCACTTACTTCAATCTCGAAATTAAATTTCAGGATATATAAAATTGATTTCATTCACATTTCTTTTTACAGACATCAATGAATGTGATCAGCCAGGAATATGTCCTAAACCAGGTCGCTGTGTCAACACATTGGGCAGTTTCAAGTGCATCTGTCCACGCAGGTTCAAACTGGACTCTACAGGAACCTACTGTACCGACGCAGATGAGTGCTTGGACGACACAAAATGTCCTGAAGGTGAGATATATCCTAAATCATAACAACTAACCTTCTCTGTTTAGTTGTTAGTCTTCAGTGTTAAACACTGTTGGTATAAAATTCCAATAAAAAAAGGAAAAATACACTAATCTGCAAGAAAAACAGGCACTTTAAAATTTTCATGTGTTTTAAAGTTTTGTACTTTTTTTGTGTACTAGTTAACCGATATTGATGATTTTTTAAGAAGTTTTTAGCTAAATTATTTGACTTTTTAGTGTCTTTTTCGAAATTAAAAATGAAAGTTACCATCTGTCAATTATACGAGGTCATCTGTCAATTATATCGATATTTCGGTGAAAGTTTGAAACACCCTGTGGAGTACATTAACAAAGCAAGGAATTTAAAAATCAATTTATCATCTAGGTGTATCCTTTCTCGATTGTTTATTTTTGATTCATCTCAATAGCTTTATTTTTTTGGAAAATATTCGCTTTTGAAGAAGATATGTTTTAGCATTTTTTCGATTAAAACCATGCCATTGCTTTTGCTCCTAGTCAACAGACCTATAAAATAGTGGTTATGATTTATGTAATATCACTGTCTTTGAAAAATTACATATTATTGTCTGTTGAGCAGTCACTCTAGCTGATATATGGTTTTAGGTCCAAAAGTTGAACTCTACCATGATCAATTAAAGCAACAATAGACGATTATTCAGAACATAAAACCATCTCAACCAGAGTAAAAGTCAATAAACAAATAAGAAGTACTACCGTATGATCGGAAAAAACGGCGTCTAGTTGGCTGGAAAAATACATTTTATAGTCATCGCTGACACCGTTCTTTTTTCGATCAAACGGTATTTTATAAGTGTGTTGATGAGGACTCGTTAATTGTTACTATCTTATTCAAAAGGGAATATCTCCAATAAAAATAAAGCTAATTGAGATGAATCAAAAAACAAACTATCTAAAAAAGACGTACCTAGATTATAAATTGATTTTTAAATTCCTTGCATTCTTAACATATTCCACAGGGTGTTTCAAGCTTTCACCAAAATATCAACATTTTTTTTCCTCGTATAATTGACAGATGAAAACTTTCATTTTTAATTTAGAAGAAGAAAAAGTTAATAATTTAGCTACAAATTGCTTAAAAAATCACCAAAATCGGCTCATTGGAATAAAATTAGAACATATTCTATATTAAACTTTAAATTACATAAAAATTTAAGGTAACCGTTTTTCGTACCGGTGAGTGTATAACTAATTACATTAATAAAAAAAACTCTATAAAAATTATTTTCATTTAATGTCATTCATGACAGTGATATATTTCTTTCAAACGCAAACTTATTAAAATTAATCATTCGTACTAAAATCACCTGGAGAACTTACATTTTTCTTTAAAATCGACCCTCATACACGGAGCAAGCTCGAAAGACAAGAGAATACGAATATCCCTCAATTCATCACCGCCAAAAGCTATATGGCAAGGGCGTTCTTAAGGCGAGAGGAAAATTGAATATTTTCGGTGGGAAAAACAAGAAAAACGCAAAAAGAAAAGTCAATTTCGCCGCTCTATCTCCGCGGCGACGGCGTTCTCCACCGGGCCGCTTCAATTTAACGATGGAAATGGAAAGAGATAAATAACTTTTCATATTTCCATGCGATGTGAAGGAGAAATCAGTTGCGAAATAGTTTGTTAAACAAGTTTACTGTCGAATATCCGGGATTTATAGGAGCGGCAGGCTGATGGGAATGATGGGGAAAAATGCCAAGTTTGCGAATGCAAGTTTCCAAGTTGTTGTTATCTGAACTGATTCAGTTGATGTTGGACTTTTAAAGAGTTTGGGTGTGGTTTTGGCAAAACACTTTGAAAAACGGGACTATAAAAAAGAAGAAATTTTTTTGTCGTATGAAATCATCAGTCAGGTGGAAAGAGCGGAGGTAATGGCTAGAGTTTCCATACGTCCGGACTGTCCAAAAAAATGTCCACCAATTCTAACTTTAAAAAAATTTAGCTTTGTTGGATGTTTTAATTGTTACGGTGCTACGTATCTACTAAACCTACAATGTACGAAAGTACCTGAGTACCCCAGGGTTCCAAGGTTTCAAGCCACTTTTCACTTTTCTTAGAAAAATGAATTTTAAAGTTTGATACTCGATAAATTTATTATGGCCACAGAAATCAAATTGAAATATATTTGGGAACGTTGTATAGGGATTTCTCTATAAAAAAATACCCCAAAAAGCTTCTGTAAAAACTCGAATTATGTATTTTTTCGTTTTTTTGAAAAATCTGTTACTGTACTTGGAACCTTGTGGCACTGTAAGCGCTATACTTGAAACTCTATGGTTCTGTTAAAAAAAAGAAATCTGTTGTTTAAAGAAAGCTAAAGTAAAATTTGGAAATAATTGTAATTTTAATAATAATAATAAATAATCTGTTAACGTATTAAAGAAATTTTTATAGCAAATTAAAGATAACGACTCATAGAACAGATAGTTGGTCTGTACTTACTTTGCTGTAAATATCGTAATCTTAAACCATACAGGTTATACAGGGTGTGTTTCCTACGATGTTCTCTATGGGAATCTCGGAAACTACTGGAGATAGAGAGTCGTTTAATTGGGGAAAGAATTGCAGTTTTGTGGGGTCATAAATATGCGCCTTTCAGATTTTTGAAAAAGTTCATGGCTTACTAGATATTTCGAAAAATACAAATTTCGGCTATTTTAAAAAATGCCCCTAATTCCATTATAAGCTATTTTAGACAAATTAGCCAAAAACTTAGCCATGAACTTTTCTTAATGAGACTGTGTCCTCCGTTTTCTTCTAAAGCCTGTCATTTTTGACATATGACACAAACATATGTTTTTTTAAATGGAAACCTTAGTTGGCTATGACTTTATAAAAAGCGCCATTTTTTAAGCTTTTCAGCAATATAAGCTATAATATGTTCCTTTCACAAAATTACTGAGCCAATTCTTATCTTTCTTGACTAATTTCACTTAGTTAGCCATGGAAACAAGTTCAATCGTCGTTGCTCTCAGAAATGTGAAATTGTGTCACATCCAACCTTTGTAAATTAAAATAAACAAAAATTGTAAATAAAAATTTTTCAAATGAAGAAAAGCGTGTAGGATTATTGGTTCAACTTTTCTTGGCCATACAGGATACGTTGACCGGTGAAAGTTACTTACGTTTTTTAGAGAACGGTTATCAATGGTGTTCAAATTTTGTTGTGATTTATAACTTATAAAAAGACAAAATATGTTATTAAACGGCTCTTTACAATTTAGATTACATAAACTAAAACTCAAAAAAATAATATCACTCCGTACACTTTAAGTTATTTTAGAAAATGTTCAAAAAATCCGCAATTATTTTGAGTACATAAATGCATCTTTTTAAAACTGAATTTCTAGCTATTGTCACAGAACGACCGGTCGCCTTAATTAAACTTCTCCTGTTCCGCCTCTTCGAGTGCCTTTCTTAATTCATAAGTTTTTTTGTAAACCTTGTTGTTAACCATACCGCATAAAAAAAATCTAAAATGGATAGGTCAGGTGACCGAGGAGACCCATGCAATTGGTTCACCTCCCTGAGTCTACATAATTAGACAGACACTGATAGTTTATTAATTCGCAACAATGAAATTAGAACTGGTAGATCCTTTTAAATCAATTATTCTTTAGAGATTGGGATAAAATTTTGTATGGCACTCGCGTGTTATATCATATAAGTAACTTCAGAAAATTAAATTTGATGATCTTAAACATTTCCCAGCGTGACATAAGTAAGATAGCACACTAGTACCATAAGTAACTATTTCTTCGTTTTTTAATGGAACACCCTGTTATTATTTCTTTGTAAGATGGAGAATTAAAAAATAAACATTTTTTATATTTAAAGCATTTTATAATTATTTATGTAAAACTTAAAATTGTTCCTAAAATTTAAATTGATAATTTTTTAGCATATCATTAAAAACAAATTTCTGGATTATTCTAGGCTGCCAAAACCTGGTCGGTGGCTACCGATGCGGTTGTCCAGCAGGCTACGTTCTCAATGGCTACTTCAACCAGTGCGTGGACAACAACGAGTGCCTAAATAGTCCATGTGGAACTTCAGGAAATTGTTTCAACACGCCTGGAAGTTTCCGGTGTGGATGTCCAGATGGGTATCAATTTGATGCTAAACTCAACATTTGCATTCAGGTGAGTCTTTGGTATAACACAACTAGAAGTGCATATTATAGGATACAGGTTTGCGTTAGATCTTTTAAAATTCTCTTACCACTCTACTTACGAGATTAAGTAAAAACTGTTTAGTAATCGTTACGTCATAATATATTATCTTACCCTCTCTTTCACTTGCCAACCAGATGAAAAAGATTCTTGACGTCATTCAGGGAATCAAAATTTATAGCGTATAGGTAAATTTTTTTTTTCAGGAGGATTGCGTAACTTTTGGGGAGTAGTTTTAGGGAAAAAATTGTAACACCGTGCTCGGGCAGATTTAGCCGAAAAAATGGTCCCAAATGGACGAAAAATGAGTTTTTCGCAGATATCTGCCAAAATATGCAATTTACAAAATTTTTTGGAATAAGAAATTAAGCTTAGGTAATTACCTACAAAATTGGTCCGTATCATTTTTTACGTAGAATTAGTAGTTTTCGAGATACTCCGCCTCGAAGGTCCCTGAATTTTCGCTGCAAGTCGTAACACTCCGAAGAGATATTTCATAAGCGTATCATTGATTGATAGGACAAATTGTTCATTTAGAAGGTAGAACCAAGATCTTTAAATTTTGTCATCTATACTAATATATAAAATCCTTAAGTGACTGACATACTGATTAATCACGATCCTGCTTAAACCACTCAACATAAGAAGCTCAATTTTGGCATACAGGTTGATTCTAGGGTGTAGAGGTTCGATAAGAAGGGATTTTTCGAAATTCCAGTTCCAAGAGGGTGAAACCACCCCTCAAATATTACAATATTTTTTATTTAAAAAACGGTCAAGTTTCCGAAAAAACGCTTAAACGCGTATATTTTATTTTGTTTTTTAAAAATGTATACAGGGTGTTTCGAAAAATCTGGTTATTGATTAATGACGATCCTGCTTAAAGCGCTTGACGTAAGAAGCTGATTTTTGGAAAACAGATTGACTTTAGGTTGTAATTGACTTAGGTGAAGAGGTTCGATAAGAAGGGATTTTTCGAAACTCGAATTCTAAGGGGGTGAAACTATCCCTCAAATATTAAAATATTATTTACTTAAAAACCGGTGAGTTTTTCGGAAAAACTCTTAACCACGTATATTTTATTTTGTTGTTTTACATATTTTAAGATTTTTATAAATTTATACAGGGTGCAAACGCCCCTCAAATATTACAATATTTGTTATTTAAAAAACGGTTAGTCTTTCGGGAAAACGTTTGGACAAGCATAATTTATTTGGTTTTTTTACATAATTTGAATTTTTTTACAAAATCATACAGGGTGTTCTTCTAAAAAAGTTGGGTAATTTCTTAACCACGATTCTGCTTAAACTGCTTGACGTAAAAAGCTCATTTTGGCAAACGGATTTTTCGAAAGTCAAATTCCAACGAGATGAAACTACCCCTCAAATATTACCAAGTTATATAATAATATCGCCATATTGATTTTTCTCATGCTGACATAAATGTGAGAAAATTTTATCCAGTTTATATGTTAATGGAAATTCTTGCTTTCCTTTATCATCACCATTACAAATGATTAATTCGACGCGAACGAAGTCGCTGGTACACGCTAGTATATACATAAGTATCCAAAGATAAATGTTCAGGAAAGCGTTTTTTTTAATTCAAATATTATGCATGGACTTAGGTACAGTTTTTCCCATTTTTAAATACCTGTTTCCATGTGACTGCTATCGATATTCCCGTTTATTTAGATACCAAAAAGTGTACCTTTTTAAGACGGAAAATATCATGCATTGCCACTTATTTTTGTTAGTACGAAATCAGTGTTACTTAGGAACAGATATGTCGCACTACCATGATCCAGAGAAAGATCTGAGAAGCCAGATAAACAGAGCAACGGCCATGCCAGGATGTCTGAGACAAATAGTGTGGACAAACCCGTTCATGCGAACAGACAGAAAAATTAAAATTTATAAGACCTGCATCAGACCAATAATGACATATGACATAGAAATCAAAGAGGAAACAAACAAAATCAAAAGCATGTTAAGAGTCGCTGAAATGAAGAACCTAAGAACCATAATGGGGAAGAATAGAAGAGACGGAATTAGAAACACAAATATCAGACAACAATGTGGAATACAGGACGAATCAGATGGGGTAGGCAAAGAAAAAGACAATGGTTCGTACACGTAAGACGCATGGAAAAAAACAGGCTACCGCGCATAGCTCTTGAAGGGAAACCCAGGGGTAAGAGAGAGCCAGGAAGACCCCCAAAAAGATGGAAAGACAGTTGGCATTCCATCTCCCAAGAACTCCTACAGAGGCAACCTTAAAATTAACAGGTCGAAAGATCTCAAATAAGTAAAAGAAGAAGAAGAAATCAGTGTCTTTACTTCGACTTACTTTATCCTCTTCTTACCTCATCACCCACTTCCATTCTGTCAAAACCGGAAATTATTTCAATTTGTTCGTCCGAGGCATCGCCGAACAAGGAATTTTTGTATTCTAGCGCGCGTCTGTTCTTTCCAAAGTCGATTGTGTGGAAAATATTCCAAGGAAATTTCCACCGCGACGATAAGCGTCGCCTCGGAAAAGTCGACAGAGTGAAAGGGACGGGAAAAGTCTAGGAAAAATAAAAACGGCGAATATGTCTGCGAGATATAAGTGAATCCCTGTGATTTTTCTTCTTTCAGTAAATAAAAATAGCTTTGAAAGTATATGTGCTTTTGATAGTTTAGGTAATCAGAGTTTCCTTTCAAAGTTCTTTTAACTCTTTTTCTTTATTTTTACTGTTAGAATATACGTTTTAGATCTAAGGGTGTGCCAAATTCGAGGTTCATCATTATGAATCTCGGAAAACTAGAAGATATACGAGGTTGTGTGATAATTTGTTTCTGAAGTGTCATAATTTGTTTCTGCAGCATTTTTTGGTGTGAACAAAAAATGTACTGGGATAAAAAAACGTCTTATTATGATGATAATGATGATAACCAGGAGAGCATTTAAGCAGAAACTTAAAAATATGACCTAGATATTGAATTTGATATTATCATCATTATTTTCAGCTTATTCAACCATTTCCAATTACGGTGTCTCTCTCTCTTTGGCCCGTTTCCCTGAAGAGGGATTAGTGACTATGATGTTCCTGTAGCTGTTTTTATCGTATTGTGCCAGTCCGCTCTGTTTTGAGCCATGCTGACGGTTTCATGAAGGCCTTGGCCGATTAGGTCTTTAGTTTGATCAACCCATCTCTTGGGTGATCTTCCTCGTGGTCGCTTTCCCTCTACCTTTCCCTCGACTATTAGCAGCTGCAGTGAGTCCGTTCTTCTAGCAATGTGACCAATATATGTCAGAAAACATCGGTTTATTTTTTTTTGAGAGGCTGAGTTGTGAGTTTAGTTCTTGGAGAACTGACTCATTCGTACGATGGGCTGTCCAAGGTATACGTAGCAGACGTCTATATGCCCACATTTCAAAAGCATCTATTCGCCTGGTATCGCTTTTCTTCAGCGTCCATGTTTCCGCCCCATACGTAGCAATCGGGAAAACAAGCGAGTTCAGCAGTCTTAGTTTGGTGTTCTTAGTGATGGCTGTATCTTTCCATATCTTAGTTAATTTAGTTACGGCTGTTCTAGCCAGCGCAATTCTACGTCTTATTTCGCCTTCGCATGAGCCGCTGTTGTCGATTAGCGATCCCAGATATAAGTATTTATTAACCACCTTAAATCCAGCTATGTTTCCCACGTGAGGTTGGTTGTTGTTTTGTCGGTCCACAATCATGACAGTAGTTTTGTTAGGATTAAGTTTTAGCCCAAATTCTGTACTAGTTTCTTGGAGACGTTGCATAATAAATTCCATTTCTTTTACGGTGTAGCCTCCCAATTACGGTGTAGCCTCCCTCATATATTTAGATACTCTCTTTGTAGCTGGGCCCATTGTTGTCTATTGTTGGCTATGCGGGCCCAAGTTAACCCTGCTTTCCATATCATGGTATGGTCCCATCTCAGGCTTGGTCTTCTTCTAGGTCTCTTAGGTCCTCGTATCCTTGGTTCCGTCCTTCTTGCAAGGTGTGTTGCACATTGCCACTTGAGGGATTTGATTCTGTAGATAACATCTATTATTTGGGTCTATTGTCGTACCACTGTATTTTTTACGGTATTTCTTGGTTATTTTCAGCATTTTGTATACTACAATCTAAAATATTTATACTAAGGGCTGGCAAGTCTTGGGTCGAGATTTCCGTATGTAAGAAGAGTAGAATGCGTTTATAATATACTGAACAAAGAGAGGACAGTAAACACGTTGCCAAACGTATGAAATAAACCGAGAAACTGTGCACATCGCTAAGAGACGTGGAAGAGGATATAGCAGATTTGTCGCAGTTGACCGGTCGAACCAAGTACTTAAAGTTCTAGGGAAAGGAGTACGTCATGCGTTCAGCTTCACGATTTAATTACGTCTCGTGATACTTAATTTGTTTATTTATTAACGAGTCGTTGTAATTTTCCCTATAGCTTGATTTTTTTAAGTGCAAGCTAGAAACACTTGCATTTTGGTAAAAATAAGTGAAACTGAGTGGGTGTTCGATAGTGGTCGCCCTATTAGAACTCTGAATTCAAAAATGGATATCTCGAAATCTATTAGAAATAATAGATTGTAGTTTTTTCAAGAACTTTGTTAATATTTGTGCTGTATTTTCTTTGTAGACAGTATGTGAAAATCTTTATCAATAAAAAAATTACACGATTGCTGAAAATTGCTATGCTCTAAAAGTAAATGGATGGATTGTTTACAATTTTTGAATGGAAAAAACAACCTTATCGAATTTTTCTTATGTAAACATATTGTAAAATGTGCGATCTTGAAAATAAAAAAAGTTTCAATATCTAAAGTGGTTCTTGAGTTATGGCCTGTTATGTGTTAAAAAGTTGAGTTTTTAAATTATCGCGATTACTGACGTTTTCTCGTTATAAAAAATGACACCCTAACGATATCCTTATAATTCCATTTCAGATGCTCAGAAA